CCCCGACGCCCCCGCCCCCACAGTGCTGTGAGACGGGAGAGCCAGCAGGACCCCCAAGCCTGAGCTTTCCTTTCCCTTCCTCCCCTTCCACCCCTTTCCAGCTCCCTCCTCCCAGGTTTCCCCTCCCCTATCCCACCCTCATTTCTACGTCCCCCCACCCCAGTTATGTAAAATAAAAGAGATTTTGGTTGTCAAAACAGGTGTGTTTATTTGACATTAGGAAAGGGGGTTAGGGAGGGGAAAGGGGAGGAGCTGGGGGAAGGGAGGAGTTGGGGTGCCAGAAGCGGGCTCTGGCCAGGAGACTTAAGAACCAGCAGCCAACCCATCCTGCCTGCCTGCAGAGCTAAGGCTTGCAGAGCATAAAACGTTTCCTTGCCAGCTAGACTGCCTGCCTGGACATGTGCCTGTGTGAATAACTGAGCTGAGGAGAGGGGACATGATTCTTCTTGGCTGCCTGTAATTCAAACAGGCAGCTCCCATTGGTCAGTTTCTGGACAGAAATCAGCCAGTGGGATTGTACTGGGACAGGGGCAGTTCTTGAAGCTTTTCCACCTCCCCTCTAGTTCTGAAACAGAAACGAGGCCTGGCAGCCGCATTTCTGAGCAGTGTGCAAGGCTGCAAGGCAAGCAGGGGAGCCTGCCTGGGACTCCCCGCTACCTCCACAGGCCGGATCCAGCCCAGATCTGGCCCACGGGATGTATTTTGCCCAGACCTGCCCTGGAATCATGGTTAAAGTTATCCTCCCACCCCTGCCAAGACGGGTGAGGAGACACCTAAATCTGGCTTTCAGTCGGCCGAAGGCCCCCTCGATCACGATGCGGGCCATGGTGAGCCTGGAATTGAAGGCCTGGCGGGAGGGATTGAGGTGCCCTGTGTAGGGCTTCATGAGCCAGGGCTGTAGGGGGTAGGCCGCATCCCCCACCAGGCACACGGTCATGTCCACGTTCCCAACCCTGATGTGGCTGTCGGGGAAGAAGGTCCCAGCCTGCAGCCTCTGGCGCATGGAGGAGGTCCGGAACACCCCCCCGA